TGGCTTGGTGAGCAGAAGATACTTTTTTTTTTTTACATTTAAAATAAAAAAATCTTACTGACGCTACACTTTTGAAATGGTACTGTATGTTAATGAACGTCTCAGCCTGCTCTTATGTTTCTGTTATATTGTTTCCTTATCAGAAATGGCACCAGTATGATTTCCCTCATCATCCCACCCAAGGATCAGATCTCGCGTGTTGCGAAGATGTTGGCCGATGAGTTCGGCACGGCTTCGAACATCAAGAGCAGAGTCAACAGACTCTCCGTGCTGGGAGCCATTACCTCAGTACAGCAGAGACTCAAACTCTACAACAAAGGTAAATGAGTGGGCTTAGCTTCATCTATGATCTTTCACAGCCATTTAACTTCTCAGATGATTGAATTTTATTGCACTTGGTATGTTTATCTTTTCCGAAATGGTGCCGTTTAAACATTAAACTGGCAGTTCATATATATTTGCTGTGTATGTGTGAGTACAATTGGGCGTTGCACCTGATTTAATCTTTTCAATAGGTGTGGTCTCTCCTGATCCCCCTCCCATAAATCTTCTGTCTATCTTGCAGTGCCTCCTAATGGCCTGGTGGTGTATTGTGGCACCATAGTGACCGAGGAAGGCAAAGAGAAGAAAGTAAACATTGATTTTGAGCCTTTTAAACCAATCAACACATCCTTGTATTTATGTGACAACAAGTTCCATACTGAGGTAAGATCTATCTATCTATCTATCTATCTATCTATCTATCTATCTATCTATCTATCTAATGTACTAAAACATTGTAACACCTAATATAATTTTTTTTGTATCCACAGGCTCTAACAGCTCTGCTGTCAGACGACAGCAAGTTCGGCTTCATTGTGATTGATGGTAGTGGTGCCCTGTTTGGGACTTTACAAGGCAACACAAGGGAGGTGTTGCACAAATTTACCGTGGACCTGCCAAAAAAACACGGTAAACATCTTTAAATTGCTTGCTGTGGCTATTTTCATTCTTTTATGGAACTTAGTGTTTACAAGCTTGTTTCCTTAAACTCTAGGTAGAGGAGGACAGTCCGCTCTTCGATTTGCACGTTTGAGGATGGAGAAGAGACATAACTATGTGCGTAAGGTAGCAGAGACGGCGGTGCAACTCTTCGTGTCCAATGACAAGGTCAACGTGGCAGGACTGGTTCTTGCCGGATCGGCTGATTTCAAGACGGAGCTCAGCCAGTCAGACATGTTTGATCCGGTATGTTCTCATGGCATCAAATGATTTACAACCTTTATTAATCAGTCTGCTTGGTTTCTGACTTTGGTTCTTCTGCACGTGTAGAGGTTACAAGCGAAGGTTCTGAAGCTGGTTGATATATCGTATGGAGGAGAGAACGGTTTCAACCAGGCCATTGAGCTTTCAGCGGAAGTGCTGTCCAATGTCAAGTTCATCCAAGAAAAGAAACTAATAGGTAGTTAATTTGCAGGCTTGATGAAAGAAAATGGACATGCTAGAAAAAAGTTTTGTGACATAAACCCGGGCTTTGGTGTTTTTTGTTTTTTTTTCTGGTGTGGTGACCTTTGTCTCTGATTTCAGGCCGATACTTTGATGAGATCAGTCAGGACACAGGGAAGTATTGTTTTGGAGTTGAAGACACACTCAAAGCGCTAGAGATGGGAGCGGTGGAGATTCTTATAGTTTACGAGAACCTGGACACTATGCGTTATGTCCTACGCTGTCATGGAGAAAATACTACACCAGAAAATGGTATACACACACCCTAAACTCATACTCAGTTTTACAATATTTGCAAAATATAAAAAGATTCCTTTCTCATTTTAATTTAATTTAAAAAAAAAAATTTGTAATCAGATGAAAAGACACTCTATCTGACACCGGAACAGGAGAAGGACAAGTCTCATTTCACTGACAAGGAGGTAAGTGAAACCACGTCAATCAAATTCAGATTATATGATTCAGCAAATCGTATTTAATTTGAAAAGTAATGTAGAAGCAACAATAGCTATAACTCCTTCCCCCGAGTGACTTTCTTGTGGAGTTTCAGTGCAGTACTCAAGCAACCAATGATCAATTCTCATGGCCTGAAATCAGATCAGCAGCCTGTGGGTTGAAACACTTGATCTTTAAACTGTCATCAGCCCATTAGTACTAAGCTCATTGCAGTTCTGTTTTGATTTCTCAGGATCGTACATTGGGGGTTCTAAAATCTAAGACTGCATTGAATATCTTATTCAAATGTCACAAATGTGCTTACAGAATAGAGATCTAAAGCGAGTTATTTTAGATCCCTGTTTAAGCACATTTGTTACATTTGATTATATAAACTCAAATGGTCAGATGGTCTTCATCCTCAAATCATGGTGAGGAACATGATCTTCAGGTTTCACACAAACTTGTATAGTTCATGCAGCTCATTAGAGCAAAAGAGTGAAGTATTAAACTGTTAAAAATAAAGGTTGCAGAAAGGATAATTTGGGGTTTTTCAAATAACCTCTGTGAAGGTATTTTTTGTTGTTGTTGTGAAAAACCTTTTTTCCACTATGAAGAACTTTGTGTAACGAAAAGGTTCAGTGGATGCTGAAGATGGTTCGATGCCAATAAATAACCTTTATTTTTAGGAGTCTTGAACATTCAGAAATTCTTATTTTGTAAAAACAGCCTTTCCTTCTTTATTTTGCTCATAACTGTTTCAAAAAAAGAACAAATACATGATTGTTTGCACCTTTTGCGTAATGTTTGCTTTTCAGTTTAGCCAAATGTTGGGTTCAGGCAGGAGGTGTATAATGTTAACAGTACCATATGTTCTTATTTTAGACGGGTCAGGAGCATGAGCTGATTGAGAGCATGCCGCTGCTTGAGTGGTTTGCCAATAACTACAAGAAGTTTGGGGCCACACTGGAAATCGTTACAGACAAAAGCCAGGAGGGTTCACAGTTTGTGAAAGGCTTTGGAGGCATTGGTGGTAAGTGCTCTCTATGGATTGCGTTTTGTAGGGAAATGGAAAGTTATTATCATAAATCAATATCTTTTTTTCTTTTTCTTCAGGAATCTTGCGGTACCGGGTGGACTTCCAAGGCATGGATTACCAGGGAGATGATGATGAGTTTTTTGATTTAGATGACTACTAGGTAGTCGGGACTGACACAAAATTCAAAATATAAGATTTTCCCCCTTCACCTACCCCGCAAATGGCAGGGGAGTGAAGGAGATCGAATCAGCAGGAGGGAGAATAAGAATTTGAGAAGATGGTGGATGGTCCCTGGCTTTAGAATACAGCGACTCTATCTCTGGACTGGAAGAGACTGAGTTTTCTCTTCTCCACTAATTACCGGGTCATCGCAACAGCATGGCCATGGCCCGTCTGCCTGTCCTGCCTCAGCTCTTCACGAAAACACTCTAGGCTTTCAGATCTACTTTTTCTTCCCTTCTAATCTCACTCCTTTTCTTCCTTTTGCCTCTCCTTTTATAATGGCATCTGCTGCTGTTGTATTTTATTCAAATGTATTATATTTTCTCTTATTCAGTGTATGAAGAAAGCAGTAGCAAATGATTAGAGCTGTACTGCTTCCCTCTAGCCACCTCAAGCCCATTGCCAGGCCTCCGTTTTAATTTCCTGGTTAGCCCAGACTTGATTTGTTGCCTTGTTTCTGCTGTAAACCAGTGTGGTGGTGGTGGTGATGAACTCTGAGCCAGTGGTACACCCTGCTCCTCCCATCGCATTGTGCCCACATTGAGGCGTTTCTTGCTCTCAAATGGACCATATAGTAACTGGACTCATCCCTTCTTGAAGACCGAGAACCGTCTTTCACAGTACATTGCCCTCACTTGTTTTCCTTCAGCCCCCAGGAGATGCTACTTCTCAAAATAAACTATATATGAGTGCCTGAATTTTGCAGTTTGTGAGATACGACAGCACAGTGTACCAGCATCTGGACCCTAACGTCAGCCTCCTGCTGTTTCCGAACATAAAATCTTAGCTCGAGCCTTCAGCACTCTTTGGTATTGGACGGCTGTATGCATGGGAATGTCCTTTCGGACCGATTATGGGCTGGGGGGGTTACGGTGTCAACTGTGATGTGTGAGTGAGTATATGTCAGTTTGGCTGTTTAATTCCCTTTTAAAAAGTCACATCTCGGAGTCTGTGACCCGCCACAGATTACAAGCCTCTTACGTTCTTTCCATGTTGTCCAGTCATATTTTAACAACATACTGCTTTTAGAAAGACAAGCTGCAAATCAATATTTTGGACCTTTAACAATTGTGGCATGGTTGGTGTTTTGACGCCTACTAAAACAAACACACAATCTGATCATGTAAAAGGAAAGCGAAAAAAAAAATTATCCAAAATACGGGCTCACAATATTTTAACAATTATGTTGTATATTTTCTTTCTTTTTTTTTGATCCATCATTATTTTGTATAAATCATTTGTTACATCTGGACACAGACATTAAACGTTTTCATTGTTTGCAAATTGCACTTATAGCTTGTTTATTTTGCGAGTATGTTTATTTTATTTGATATACTTCGTTTTATGGGTTCGAAATTTGACGAGATTATTTCGCTTACTATGAGAAAGTCAATTATAAGCAATTTAACTGGAAAGCAAAGGTAAACATTATTCTGATAGCTTCAGAATTGTATTCGTTTAATAAATTGTTTAGACCTACTTATAATAATAATATTTGGCTGCAGGCTAGGATGTCACCAGCAAACAATTAGAAATATTCTTAATATGTGAATCATAGGGGATAGCCCCATTCTTTACCCTAGCACCAGACGACAGCCAATCGCCATTCATTTTACAAAACGGACAAAACCCTTTTTGTCATTCGTCGACCAACCACGAATGTTGTTACAGAATACATCCCCCTTCGATTATGACGTACTGTGTCTGTATCCGCTTTGTACCTTAGCAGCAGAAATGATCCAATCACAACGCGGACATCGCCCATTTGGCGCACGTTTTTTTATTTGCCAGCCAATGGGGGATTTAGACACAAGGCTGCTTTCTCCGCCTCCTTTCGTGACGTGATTGTGTCGCAGGGCGGGGCTTCCATCTTCACTGCGAGTTTCGGGGAACAAACATGGAGCCGGAGATGGAGGACAAACCCTTAGAGCTGATGGTGAGTACTCGGGTGTGCTTTGAAAAACGTTTTCCAGTATGTTCGCAAGACTTTAGAGTTTAGAAATCCCTATTAGCGGTTATAAGAGTAGCCTGGTTGAATATAACTAGCTTGTGGAGTGGGTAGGGATCGGCTGAGTAGAGGGAGGAAGGAAGGAGGGGTGAGGAGAGAGAAATGGCTGGCTCGGCTGACAAGGAGGGCCCTGCTATGTATCGCTGGCTCACTTGGTCGTTTTCACGTCTCTCGCCTGTGTCTTTCCCTTGAAACAACAGCTGAGACGTTAGTAGACAAGGCGAACAGTTGTTCTCGGTGAGGACTCAGGATATTTACTGAGCTAGTCGCGGAGGAGAAGGAAGGGAAGCTGCCGCGGCATCGTGGTGAGTCCGAGTCTCATCGACTTCAGCCGGTGCCTTGAGCTCCACTGCGGCGCCTCTGCGCCACTCAATCCTGCCTATAATTTGGTCCCACAGACGAGTTGTGGTTCATATACAGTCTAAGAACGCTTAACTATATTTTAAAGTGATTAAAACAATCACTTCTCATTCACAATAACGCAACATTTACTTCTCACGACACATTTTAACTGGACTTTAAAGCTGCGTAATAGGAAGTAACCGCTCCTGCTGTCAATTTCAAATGAGGTTTTTGAGCCGAACGGTGAGCGAATATACAAATGTCGTTAACTAATTCAACAATCGTGTTTGGATGAGTGAACATTTGTGTTTTAGTGAGCCCACGCTTTTCTTAGTGAAATACAAACGTTAATTGTTGACGTGAAAGCAGCAAGCGGCTAAGTGGCTAACCACATCAAACCAATAGCCTACTCGAACTAATTACGATAAGTTACTTTCTTATTAAACGCACTATTTTTGTGTTTCACAATTTTCTAAACCGAAATTTTATGAAACACTTACAAAAAAAAATAAAAATCAGAGTTCCTCAAATCGTTTACTAAAACATGCAGCGTTTGTTATTAATTTATTTTTGACGAGATTTGAATATGTAACGTTAGTCTCTTAATTTTAAATGCATTCTTTATATTCTTAATTTAAAACGTTTTTATGGTATCTTTCAAAATAAAAGTTTGACTTGTTTAAATGTGCTCTTAATAAGGCTGTGTCTGAATCAATATCTCTCCTAGTCAATACAATAACATTATAGAATCAGTTTTGCAGAGTAGATTTGCTTCTTGTTGCCATGGATACTGTGAAAAGGGTAGGAGTGAATGTACTTGAGTTTGTCCACTTGTATTGTGAAGTTTGAGGAAGACCGATAAATGGCTTCTGCTTGAAGATAACAAGCCGTGTGAATTTGTGTGTAGACTGCATAGACTCATAATACATCTACACTTCCTGCTCTGCTGACCTAGAAGGATGTTTTGAAATGAATCCCAGACTTTGTCATCATGAGTCAGACTGGGTTATTATTATTAACTAAAACCATAGAAAACATTTGTTATTTGGAGGAAAAACTTAGATTGTCAAGGTAGCATTTCCCATTTTCATTTAGTTTAACTTCAAGTACTAAAATAACTACTGTTAAAACTTAAATGATTAAAACTTTAATAATAAAAACTCAACAAAATTACTACAATTTTAACAAAATAAAAAAAAAATGATATTAATAGTCTAATACTATCTCAGTGCTTCTAAAATAACACTGGTGTCAGTGTCTAGCTTCAATAACATACTGCTTTATTTAGTCCAGAGAGCCTAAGTTTCTAAAGAGTTTGGCTGATATTCAGTGATTATGGATTAAAGCAGGTGCCGAGTCGTGGATCTTAAGAGCAACGATATGGATGGTATCATCTCTATCGTGGCTGTATTTGGGATGTAAGCATATCCTTTTGGTGGCCTTGGCTAAATGCCCACACGCCCTGCCCGATCCCACATCTTTGCTGCATGCTGATGGAGAATCTGTCCAATTATTCAGCACACACAGATCGTAGGCTGGTGCTCAGTCCTTTCATCTGCTTTCCAACAAACCGTGCAATTTGATTATGAACGCATGCGAGCAGATGATGAAAGGGTGGGTTATGTATACGAGTAGTTCTGATTCATGTATAGGAGTAGTTCTGATATTCTATTCTAATTTTTTGTTTTAGTTTGATTTAAAGCAGACATTGCTATTGATTGCTAAAAAAAATAATGAATTGTGATTTCTTCTGCAGAACTTCTCTGTCATGGACTCGCAGACTGCAGACCGCTCCCCAAAGATCACATTAATTAAGGTGAGGTGGACGAGCCGTACCTAAGTAAAGTGTGTCAAAGTCTGAAAAAATAATAAACGGATAGAACAATAGGGATCTATTGAGTAGCCTCTCCCTGAACTATGCAGGATTTTCTATATTGAAGTACTGTTGACTTAGGGGTTTGTTGTAGGGCATGGCCTGATCTGCGTCTGGAAAACCTCAGTGTCCATTTCCGCAGGCTTTTATTTTTTTCTGTTTTTAGGTTTCCTCTTGCATTTTTGAGATGTCCTGGATAATTACATTGGCCCCAAAATTATCTGGACACTTACACTACTGTTCAAAAGTTTGGTGTTGGTGAGATTTGTAATGTTTTTGAAGTCTCTTGTGCTCAGCATGGCTACATTTATTTGATCGAAAATACAGTAAAGTGGTATTGATGTGAAATTATTACAATTTAATAAAACTTCATACAATATGTGCAATTTAATATAACAATATATTACTCCAGTCTTCAGTGTCACACGATCCTTCAGAAATCATTCTAATATGCTGCTTTGCTGCACAAGAAGCATTTCTTGTTATTATCAATGTTGAAAATAGTGGCGCTGCTTAATGTTTTTGTGGAAACCGACCATGATAGCTTTTTTAAGGATTAAAAAAAAAAGAAAAGTACATTCATTTAGTTCAGAACTCTTTTGGAACATTATAAGTGTACTTGGTGTCATCTTGATCAATTGAATATGTCCTCCTGAGTGAAAGTATTAATTTCTTCAAAAGAAAATCTTACTGACCCCAAAACTTTTAACAATGATGTAAGACACTTCAAAATACTTGAATTTCGTATGAATCCAAGTGGGATGATCTGCAGACATATGATGCTAGATTTCTCAGGGCTAACTTCACATTTGAGACATTTTTGGATTTATTTTTAACAAAACCAAATGTATTCTAATGAATTTATGAGATCAGTTCCCCTAAATCTCATACAGATGTTTTAGCAGAGTAACCACACATTAGATCATGTTTCTAATTTTTGACTTCCAGAAAATATAATTTTTTTTTCTAACTCTTTCTACAAAGAAACACAGTTTTTGCTTGATGTTTGTTTGTGCCAATTTTCTTAAATGTTTGAAGTGTCACTTAAGTGCTCTAGTATGACTGTATGTACAGAACATCAAGTGATGAGTTGTTTGGGATTAATAGCATGATAATTTCTTGTAGAAACTCCTATTATTGCATGTGAATCCAGGAACTGTATGTGGCTCTTTTAATAGAAGAGCACCTGCAGCACTGTTCTTTGCCGAGTTAACACATCTGCCTTAAAATATTATGATAGTATGTTACCATGTTTCAAATTTTCCATTTGCCCAATCCTTTCCAATACATATTTTCTTTTGTCTCATCTAATATATTTATTTATTTTTCCTTTTACAATTCTCCCAGCCTACTTTCATCTGTCCTCAGGTGAGTAATGGACCTTTGACAGGCTCTAGGAAGCGGCCGTCAGAGGGAAATTACGAGAAGGAGAAGGACGTGTGCATCCAGCTCTTTGATCAGTGGTCTGAGGCAGACCAGGTGGAGTTTGTGGAACACCTGATCTCACGCATGTGCCATTACCAACACGGCCACATAAACTCCTACCTCAAACCCATGCTCCAAAGGGACTTCATTACAGCACTGCCAGGTAACACACACAGAGTCCTTATTCTGAAAATGCCATTTCTGATGGAGGGTGTGTCCATTACTCTTAAAATATAGCCTTAAAAGGATAGTTCACCCAAAAATGAAAATGTGTTGTTTATCTGCTTACCCCCAGGGCATCCAAGATGTACGTGACTTTGTTTCTTCAGTAGAACACAAACGAAGATTTTTAACTCAAACCGTTGCAGTCTGTCAGTCATATAATGGAAGTGAATGGGGAATCATGGCTTTTGAGAGTAAAAATAAAACACCCAAACAAAACCAAATTAAACCCTGCGGCTAGTGACGATACATTGATGTGTAAAGACAAGAAACTATCTGTCTGTGCAAGAAACTGAACAGTATTTATATAGTATTTTTTACCTCTGATTCACCGCAATGTCCGAACTGTCCTGAGCACGTTCGCGTCGTCTTCAGCCGGTGCGTGACATGACTACTACTTGCTTTACGGCAGATCGCAGACTTAAGTCCATTACCGCCACCTATCTCTCAAATGGACCATTGGCACGCCTAATTGAGATTGTAGATAGTGTCAATGGTCCATTTGAGAGATAGGTGGCGCTAATGCACTTATAAGTCTGCGATCCACCGTAAAGCAAGAAGTCACGTCACGCGCCAGCTGAAGGAGACGCGAGCGTGCTCAGGACAGTTCGGACATTGTGGTGAATCAGAGGTAAAAAAAACAAGATAAATACTGTTCAGTTTCTTGCACAGACCGATCATTTCTTGTCTTTACACATCAATGTATCGTCACGAGCCGCAGGGTTTAATTTGGTTTTGTGTATGTTTTTTTTTTACTCTCATCAAGCCATGATTCCCATTCACTTCCATTATATGACTGACAGACTGCAACGGTTTAAGTTAAAAAATCTTTGTTTGTGTTCTACTGAAGAAACAAAGTCACCTACATCTTGGATGCCCTGGGGGTAAGCAGATAAAAATAACATTTTCATTTTTGGGTGAACTATCCCTTTAAGATTAAAGAGACCATGTATGTCTTGGCCTGTTTTATCTCTAAAGTTGAAACCAAACTTGAATCACAGTTCATCAGTGTATTTTATTCTTATAGGGCCCTATGAAATCCGTTTTATTTTTTCCCAAATTCTAATAAAACGGATTTCATAGGGCCCTATAAGAATAAAATACACTGATGAACTGTGATTCAAGTTTGGTTTCAACTTTAGAGATAAAACAGGCCAAGACATACATGGTCTCTTTAATCTTAAAGGGATAGTTCACCCAAAAATGAAAATTTGATGTTTATCTGCATACCCCCAGGGCATCCAAGATGTAGGTGACTTTGTTTCTTCAGTAGAACACAAACGAAGATTTTTAACCGTTGCAGTCTGTCAGTCTTATAATGTAAGTGAATAGAATCACGGCTTTGAGAGTAAAAAAAAAACATACACAAAACCAAATTAAACCCTGCGGCTCGTGACGATACATTGATGTGTAAAGACAAGAAATGATCGGTCTGTGCAAGAAACTGAACAGTATTTATCTTGTTTTTTTTTACCTCTGATTCACCACAATGTCCGAACTGTCCTGAGCACGCTCGCGTCTCCTTCAGCTGGCGCGTGACGTGACTTCTTGCTTTACGGTGGATCGCAGACTTATAAGTGCATTAGCGCCACCTATCTCTCAAATGGACCATTGGCACGCCTAATTGAGATTGTAGATAGTGTCAATGGTCCATTTGAGAGATAGGTGGCGCTAATGCACTTATAAGTCTGCGATCCACCGTAAAGCAAGAAGTCACGTCACGCGCCAGCTGAAGGAGACGCGAGCGTGCTCAGGACAGTTCGGACATTGTGGTGAATCAGAGGTAAAAAAAACAAGATAAATACTGTTCAGTTTCTTGCACAGACCGATCATTTCTTGTCTTTACACATCAATGTATCGTCACGAGCCGCAGGGTTTAATTTGGTTTTGTGTATGTTTTTTTTTTACTCTCATCAAGCCATGATTCCCATTCACTTCCATTATATGACTGACAGACTGCAACGGTTTAAGTTAAAAAATCTTTGTTTGTGTTCTACTGAAGAAACAAAGTCACCTACATCTTGGATGCCCTGGGGGTAAGCAGATAAAAATAACATTTTCATTTTTGGGTGAACTATCCCTTTAAGATTAAAGAGACCATGTATGTCTTGGCCTGTTTTATCTCTAAAGTTGAAACCAAACTTGAATCACAGTTCATCAGTGTATTTTATTCTTATAGGGCCCTATGAAATCCGTTTTATTTTTTCCCAAATTCTGTTTTATTTAATTTTTTTTTTTCCAAATTCCGTTTAAATTTCTGGACTCCTTTTTAATGGTTAAATTGTATTAATCAAAAAGCATGTCTAATTAATTAATTAAAATCATGAAACGTATACAATTTAGCATCAATTTATTAAGTTTAACAAAAAGTACATATTTAGGGCCCTATGAAATGTTTTATTTTTTATTGTTACCAAATTAAAACATGCAAGAAATATTGTGTGACTATTCCTTAAAAAATAGTTGTATTAATTTTTCCAACAGTAGTAGTAGTAGTAGTATTACGTACATTCTACTGAATAATAGTAATATTTCTGGCGCAGTGTCTTCAAGTTAAACCAAACTTTTATTTTGACGGGTTGCTGTTAATACCTTTAAGTTTCTGTGTATATGACACTAGTTTTACTCAAATGAAAAGGCAAAATGCTCATGAAGTACTCTTAAAATGAGAGTTTGTGGAATGTGCCAATTTTTGACCTAATGGTGTGGCTAAACACTACCTCCGCAGAAGATGATCAATGTCTGCTTCACTGCCTGTTTAGCCCCACCCACCAATTCACACATGTAGTGTTTATGAGAGATACGAACACGCAGGTCTATGCAAAAACCAAACGATAAACTTTATTTGATTAACTTTTATTTTTAATGAAGTGCCAGACTGTCAGTAAGAACTTGGTTCACTTCAATTTATCAAACAAGGCGCAATTCGACAGGATTTTGAGAACCTGAAACTAAAAGACAATAGTGTGCTGACTATATTGGATCTGATATCGTTTTTGTTATGTGGTCACTATTGCTTTGTCTGTTATTACAGATAGTTTGACATGTACTGAGTATTTATGTGCTTTTAACCTAAAACACAGCAGCGTCTGTCTGTGAAGGATGTAGGTTGTCAAACATGCATAACTATTAGCCAATAATAGCAGTGGGCGTTTATTTCAGAGTCTACAATCTGCCACATCTATTCAAACGGAGCGTTCAGATGAGGGTGGTCAAAACAGGATAGAAAAGTGCCTATTACTTCTAAAGTATGATGTTTTTTTATGTAAAAATCTTTAACATTATAAGTGGACCTCAGAGAACACTACAAAATAAAAAAGGCAGTTTATGACTCCTTTAAATTTATGACGCCTGTAGTTGTGAAAAATTTAAATGGCAAATATATTTAATTATTGGGATCAGTAAGGGGGAAGAAATTAATACTTTTCAGCAAGCATGCATTAAATTGGTCAAAAGTGACAGTAAAGACATTTTTATATTACAAGGATTTCTATTTTAAATGAATAAATTTAACTTTTTTTAAAAAGTTAATTGACTTTTTAACCATATTAAAAAGTCAATTCTCCGCTATATGGTCCAGACCCTGAGCTGGAAGACAAATTGAGAGTGATTTCATTTTAGTGAAATAGGACATTAAAATAAAAATAAAAAAACTCAAATGTATGCATCAGGAAGGGACTGGATAGTACACAGTAGACATTAATGAAAAACATGGAGATTGGAGAATGCAAGAGGGGTTTAAAAAAAATTTAAAAAAAAGCAAAAAAGGTGGTTTGATGATGTCAGCTAAAATGAAAAAAAAATATTTTAAAAAATCTAAAATATTAAGCTCTTTTTTTAACATTGAAGATAAAAAAATGTTTCTTGAGCAGCAAATCAGGATCATGTGACGCTTAAGACTGAAATAATGGCTGCTGAAAATGCCATCGCAGGAATAAATTCAAATTTTTTTTTTAATAGACTAACATAAAGTTATTGCACAATACTGCGGTTTATACTGTAAATTTAAAGATCTTATTTCAAAAATATTAAAACATCTTTGGGACCCAAAACCTTCAAATAGTAGTGATGATAAAAGAATATTTGATTATTTAACTTAATATTTTGTTATTTAAAGATATAAGATAAAACTTGACAATTGTAATTGATATTGGCCATAATAATACAAATAGTTCTTGACTAAATATTGGTGCATCCTAGCTAGACTTTTTTTTAAATTTTTTCCTTTAATGAGGAGTCTAGTCTAGTTAACAGAACTTTATATTTGACATTGTGAAATTCATGGTGTTTGCAGTTGTAAAAATGTAATATGTGTGTTTGCATTCAGATATGGGATAAACAGACTCTGGAGTGTTTGAAGATTCTGACGGGACACACAGGCTCTGTGCTGTGTCTGCAATACGATGAGAGAGTCATTGTTACCGGCTCCTCTGATTCCACTGTCAGGTCAGATTTCTATCGTTCTCTCGCTCTCTATAAGTCCTCTGTTCATCTTTTCCAGTTTTTTTTTCTCCCCCCTCACTCCACATGTCTGTTCAGCTGGAATGGATAAGGGACTGATAAAATCAGGTCTGACTTTACTTGCCTTCTCTTTTTACCCAGAGTGTGGGATGTGAACTCGGGGGAGGTTCTGAACACACTGATCCACCACAACGAGGCCGTGCTCCACCTGCGATTCTGTAATGGGCTGATGGTCACCTGCTCGAAGGATCGCTCCATCGCCGTGTGGGACATGGCCTCTCCTACGGACATCAGTCTCCGCCGGGTCCTCGTCGGACACAGGGCTGCCGTCAATGTGGTCGACTTTGACGACAAGTACATTGTCTCTGCCTCTGGGGATCGGACCATAAAGGTCAGCGCTCTGATCTCTGAATGACCGTTATCAGCTGTCAGTCAAACCACAGATCAATGCTCTGTGTTTTATCTGATTTCATATGCATCAGGCCTCGTCCTGTCTTAAGTGTGTTGATTCTTGATGACAATAAGCTGCAGTGGACTAGGCTATATTGTCATGGAGCTGTTCAGGTGTCTGCTTGTTCTGTCCGAAGCACAGAAGTTCCCAGCAGAGGGCAGCAGTGTAATAGTTTCTTAATTCTCTATAGCCTGCAGAAACGCTATAGTCCTTGCTTTTGCCCAGAGTCCTCTTCGGCACTAGTGACGCTCTAGATGCTGGACTGAATGTAATACGATTCTGGACATTTGAGATTCCAGAAACAGACAGCCCTGATCCAGCCCACCCATCACTCTGGGAGGGGTGCCAAGTCATTCTGCAGCCCCCACCCTATCAAAACATTCCCCAAATAATGAGGCCGGGCAGTGAGGGCTGGTGTGTGTAGATGTCTGGAGGTGTTTTCTCATGCACACACTTGAGTTTAAATGTACTGGTATTTATTAAATATGCCTATGGATTATTCTAAGGATAGATGGCAGTGATTTGGAACAGTTTTAAAGTATTTAATGTTTAATCCTGTTGTGTGATGTACTGTGTTTTACAGGTGTGGAGTACAAGCACCTGTGAGTTTGTTCGGACACTAAACGGTCACAAGCGAGGAATTGCCTGCCTGCAGTACAGAGATAGACTCGTGGTCAGCGGCTCCTCAGACAACACCATCAGGTGTGTGAATAAGCAATCATTCAAGTTTGTTTAATAGTAGTTGAGTGAATCTCAAGAAATGTCAAAAATACACGTGACATTTCACCCCAGGATACTTGAGTACATTTTTACCAGTAAAACGTAGAGGTCTGTTTAACGGATTTATTTAAAAATGTCACCTGAATGCATTTTAGAATTTGTCTAGAGTACACCTGAAATGTCTTTTATAACCTTTTGTTAAAGGGTTAGTTCACCCAAAAAGTAAAATTAGCCCACAAATTACTCGCCCTCAAGGCATCCTAGGTGTAAATGACTTTCTTCTTTCAGACGAATCCATTTGGAGTTATATTAAAAATTGTCTTTGATCTTTCAAGCTGTTTAATGGCACTCAGCGGGTGTTTCATGCATCAGTCCAAAAGAAGTTAAATAAA